CCTCCAGACAACCAGACTACTTTCGGGGGCTTCCACTGGGTGCACGATTTAAGACTTGGGGATCCCTAAGCCTCAGGGGGCATCACATGGAGATCAGGGGCTGGCATAACCACCCCAGGTCTCTTAGGGAAATGTCCCTGCACCATGAACCTTTCTGGCAACAGTGCCTCTGTTCCCTCCGACCCTATACTTAACCACCAGCAAACCTGGAGTTCTGTAACGTTCTGGTTTCCAGTCTCTAACACATCCTAGCTAAGATACCCTTCCTTTCTCCTCCTCTCCCCCTCTCCTGCCTAACATTATCTTTCAGGACCCTGCACAGGCATCCCCTCTTCTTGGGGGGTCCCCGCTCCCCTCAGAGGCATTAGGAGGCCTCCTTTCTGGTCACAGGGCTTATTTGCTTTGTGCCACTGTTATGGGGCGGTCTCCCCAAGACTTATATATGTGACTGCCTACTGACTATCCACTGGGTTCAGGGCTTGGTGCACCTCAGGCCTGAGCAAGTATTACTGAAGTAGCCTTCCGTGTGTGGGAGATCGCACTGCGGAGACTCCCTGGGTTTCATGAAAAGAGTCTCCCCACGTTAGATGTGAACTTAGTCCCTGCTCCATCCTTCCTTCTACCGTAAGATCAAACGGGTGGTCTTCATTGGCCTTCTAAGTCTTAAAATCCTTACCTGCAAAACATGGTGGCTATAAAGACTCAGGGGTAAACCGCTTGTGTGTCCCAGTGTAGAGCCAGGGGGACACCTCCAGGGCTGCCAGCAGCCACACTCAGGGCTTTTGCTAATGCACTCTGGGAAGCTGTGGCCAGGGGCACAGTGAGCCACTGAGTCACGGTCTAGGATGGAGTAGTAAAGTATGCTGGGAAGATGGAGGCCCTACCCCAGGGTCTGCAGCCCTTGGAGGCGCTAGGAGGAAGCCTGCTGGGGTTGTTTTCTAGGAGGGAGGCCCACGAGCATCACAGACTGAGGAAAGGACACAGATGACCCTGGTAGGCCCAGGTCACCCGGAGTACTGGAAACAGCCTTGATTCTGACAAGGTACCAGGGATGTCTGTTAAGGCTCCCCTAGAAGCTTGGGAGTCAGATCTGTTCCTCAGCCTCTGAGTGGGTCTGGGAGAGACAGGGCAACACTTGGGACCCTACAGCCTCCAAGAGAAAGTCTTCAAGTCTCAGCAAGGGCTAATGGGGCTGAGCCTTGAAATGTACATGAGGCCTAGCTGCACCCCCACCCCATTTGCCATGTGGTGTTGGTGAGCTCCTACCCCACTGTTCCATAAATCCCTCTGCAGCGAGGCTTAACCAGTTAATATATGCAGAGTGCCTAAACTGGGCATGGTGGTGTACTCCTTTAATCCCAGCACTCGGGAGGCAGAAACAGGCAGATCTCTGTGTCTGAGGCTAGCCTGGACTATATACCAAGCTTCAGGACAAGGAAGGCTACCTAGGGAAACCCTGTCTCAGGGTAAAAGTAAACCAGGAAGATGTGCAGAAGGACCCTGGGTCTCAGGGCTTCACCTGTGGGCGCTGTTACCTGTGACTTGAAGCAAGTGACACACTCGGTGTCTTGTGTGCTCACTGGAGAAACGGGACTCCACAGGGCTCACTTCGCTTCACAGTGTTACCAAGAGCAGCAAATGAAATGAACTAAATAGCAGCGAACCCTTTAAATCTGAGAGTGCCAAGCACAAAGCTTGTAGGAGTTGCAGACTGGATCCGCCTGTCCCTTCAGCTTCCTCGCTTGCTCTTCCGGAGCAGCTGAGGTCTGGGCTCTAACTGAGTTGTTGCCTGGATGGTTTTGTCTTTTTTCGCACTTTATTTATTTATTTATTTATTTATTTATTTATTTATTCACTGTGTGTGTGTGTACACACGTGCACATGAGCATGGGCACATGTGCATGCACATGCCACAGTATAGGTGTGCAGGTCAGAGACCCACTCTCAGAAAGTGGCTCTTTTCCTCCACCATGTGTGCTCTGAGAATGCAGACTTCGGTAGCATTGACCCATCTCATATTGGCCTTCACTCACTAACCCTCACTGGCCCTACCTGGGTTTGTTTTTAAAGAAAGACTAGGAGGGGTTAGTGATTAGAAAATTAAAACGAGTAAGTGAATGAGAAAGAAATCTAGGAACATGTCTGGCATGCAGTGTATATCACAGTTGTTCCTGCTATTGTTTCCAGCTCACAGACATGGAAGCAGAGACTCAGAGAGCTTCCTGAGACAGTGAGCCTCAGAACCATCTAGGACCAGTCATAGGGCCACCTCCCAGTGTTTGTCTCTTCTGTGTTCCTGTGACTGGATCCTGTGCCCAGCCAGCCTGGCCTAGGTCCCGGGGGTGCTAGGTCCTGGTGGTGGACAGAAAAACCAATGTCACATGGTGGCCAAGACAGCTGGAACCCAGGGCTCAGATCCCTGGGCCAACTGGTTTACTCACAAGAAGCTGACACTGCTCTGAGTGCCATCTTGGTGCCTTACGCATCCTTCCAACTTACCTTTGCCTTTCTGACGTCACCGAGTATACGTCAGCCTCATCACCCAGCCCTCTTTCTGACTCCCAGACACGGCATGGACAGGGCCATGTCTCGGTTTCCAAAGACATTTTAGGTTGATCCTATGAAAACAGAGTAGGCGCAGGGTGACAGGAAGGGACAGCATCTTACATCAGTGACCAAGTACCACTGGAGCAGAGAAGACCTGAGGGACAGGACCAAGGATACGTCTGTGGAATCGCTCTCCTACGGGACTGGGGGTGATGGTCTTGGTCCTTGGAGAACAGCAGAGATGCGGGGAGACTAGGGAGACTGACTGGTGAGGGGAATAAAGGAAACGGGGGGGGGGGCTTGCTCCCTTGTAAGGCCCTGTCCAATCCTGAGGTTTGAAGACTTTTTGAGAAGCTCTTGCTCAGAGTCAGTCACCTGATCCTCAAAAGAATTCTATAAGGAGGATGTTTCTATCCTCATTCCACACAAGAGAAAAACAGGGCTCAGAGAGCCTAAACATCCACCCCATAGTCAGTCACCCTGAGCCAGGTAAAACCTGAAAGGGATCCATTGTCTGACCTGCAGTCTGAAGGGTGTTTTCCAAGACCAGCATGTCTGCTTGCCAAGGTCCCCTCTCATCTGTGACATCAACTCAAAGTTGATGTTCCTGCCTCGGCTAGACCCACAGTGTCCCACTTTCTGGACAGTGAGTGTGCAGGGCTGTGTGGTACCCATCCTGTCCCACTACTCCAGGGCTGGGCTTGGTGGCTAATAGATCATTTCAGCTCTTTAAATTCTAATAGGCACTGTTCCGCCATAAAGACTGTCATTTCCCACGGCTCACACGGATAATCACCATGCTGGTTGCCCCAAGAGCTGGGGAGGGCAGGCTGCAGGCATGTCTGTGAAGACAGAAGTCATCTCTCAGGCTCTGCCACCCAGGCCTTCCCCACCAGACACTGTCCTCACAGCTGAAGCGTGCTCTGCGGTCTGGGAGGCCCGGCTCGTGGCTTGTTCCCCCAGCTTAGGGAAGCAGCTCTTCCGTTAGCCAACCCCAGTGGATCATAACCGTCTCCTTGAGCATTTTCCCTTCCACAGCCTCAGGTCCCTTGACACGTGCCAGCAAGCAGCACACGGCCCACCATCCCAGGGGACAGCACTCCAGGGCCCCCTTGGAGAGTATCCAAGGGTGTGTCCAGACATACCAGACAGTGAAACTGCTGGTTATGGTTTTTTTCTTTTGTTGTTGTTGGCGGTGGTTGTTTTGTTTGTGTGTTTGTTTTCGTTTTTATTGTTTTGCTAACTTGTCACAAACTAGGATCTTCTGGGAAGAGGTAACTTTAATTGAGAAAATGCCTCCAATAGTCTGTCTTAAAGACATCTGTGTGACATTTTCTTGATTAATGATTGATGTGTGAGGGCCCAGTGTCACCACTGTCCACTGGGGGCAGTGTCACCCCTGGGCAGGTGATCCTACGTTGTGTAAGAAAGTAGGCTGAGAGATGGGCTGTGGAGCACACCTTTAATTCCAGCACTCAGGAGTTAGAGGCAGGCAGATCTCTATGTTTGAGGCCAACCTGGTCTACAGAATGAGTTCCAGGACAACCAGGGCTATGCAGAGAAACCCTGTTTCAAAAAAAAAAAAAAAAAAAAAAAAAAAACCAAAGACGAACAAAACCCAAAAACAAATGAAAAAAGAAACCAGGCTGAGCAAGCTATAAAGAGAGCAGGCCAGTGAGCAGGCTTCCTCCTTGGCATCTGCTTCAGGTCCTGCCTCCAGGTTCCTGTCCAGACTTCCCGTCATGGTGGACATAAACAAGCCCTTGTCTCCCCGAGTTGCTTTTGGTCACGGTGTTTTACCACAGCAATGGGACAGAAACCAAAACCTAGGGGCTATGACAATACACCAGGGCAAAGGTACTCAACTCGGAGACTGAGAGTGAGGTCGGGGGAGAGAAAGGCTGAGCTCAGATAATCCAGGATTAACTGAGGACTCCCCTAATTCATCATATCCACAGACCCTCCGCAAGAAGTGTAGAGCTTTTGGCCCAGACTTCCACAGTAAACAAGTTGAAGACCTTGGGCTGGAACGGAGCGGGACTCTCAGTGTCCAGGAGACTCTTCCTCCTCTGCTTACCTCTCTTCCCCCTCCAAGGGTTCTTTACTCTCTGCCTTTTTCTCGAGGTCCCAGCTGGTCTGCCCCTTCCTCCTCAGTTCTGCTTGGTCACCCTACACACATCTCGAGGGCAAGACTCACATCTGCCTGTGTGCTGGTAGGCTGCCTCCCTCACAGAGAGCAGAGTCTGGGGCCAAGTGCATGCCCCATGAGCTGCCGAATGAGCTGTGCTGTAATGGGGCTTCTGTCTTCTTAACCTGATCCCAGTGGTCAGCAGCTTGAGTTTGGAGACCCCAGCTCCTGTGCGAGGACTCCTCGAGTGATCGTTATGCAGTATAAAGGTGAGCAGGGACAAACACTAGGTTATAAATGTATCGTCTGTTTATTTTTCATTAACAAGATTGTTCCACTTCTTGCTATCAAGTAGAGCTCGGGAGAAGGGAGAAATAATAAATTTGCATAATAATCCTAGAGGTCCTCACAGGGAAGGGCAGGAAGTCCCCTTTAATCTGATGGAAACAGAGAAGCATCGAGTGGGTGGACTGGAGCAGCTCTGGGAGACTGGAGCAGCTGAGAGACTGGAGCAGCTGAGTGACTAGAGCACTCTAAGGGACTAGAGTTAAAAAACAAAAGTACAAGGGCTGCAGAGAGAGTTCGTCTGCTGAGCGAGGAAGAGCTGCTGACACGAACATCAGCGTGAGAATGGGGAACATGGGACTTCAGTCAGTGCCTTGGCCAAAGGTCAGAAGACATTCAAGCAAAAGTTCCAACATAAAAGCAACGCCTCCTCAGCTACAGCCTCACCCCTGAGCATGCTGTTCAGCTTACCTGTGTCCATAGGAACCGGATCCAGGAGGCCATTGCCACCTCCATGAGCTAGCATCCACTCGGATGCACAGGACCAGTCTTCAGTCGTCACATGGTGTGGCAAGGGCTGAAACAGCGGCACTAGCCGGAGCTTCAGCTCTCTTACCAGTTCCTGGAGGCTGAGCTGGAGTTCTTTAGACAGAGTCTTCACACAAGTCAATGCAAGAGAGAGGAAGCCCTGCACCGATACTAGACTTCCTGCTAATGAAGGTAGAGAGACTTAAAGGTGCTCGTAGTTGCGCCCTGAGTCGGGGAAGAACAGAATGAGTGTGTCTTATTCACGCTGCCGCCCGTGACCCCAACTATCCAAGCTCACAAGAGACACATACGGGAGCATGCTTTCCTGTAGCGGAATAGCCTTAAAATTAATAACATCACAACAACAATTACAACCGTCTCCAGAGCCCTTACCCACACAAACTGTTCTCAGAGCCCTGTGATGAGCAGGGAAGAGCAGCGATCCCTAGGAAACGGGGGCTCAGATGTCACCAACATGTCCACAGCCCCACCCTGCCCTGCTGTGGCTCCCCAAGCTGCTCTCTTCCTGCTTACAGCAGCATCAGGACCACAATGGCAATGATCATAAGGACTCCAGCCAGGATGCAGAGGCCCAGGAAGACGATGTCACTAGTGTCCTGGGCCACCACAGTCCCAGGTCTCTCCAGGACCTCTGCCTCGTCCCCGGATGGCGCCTCCTGAAGGTGCTCAGCAGTGGCGGCGTAGGGCCCGAGCCAGTGAGAGCCCGACAGCAAGTGGGCGGATGCCTCCTTGCGCCTCGGCTCACAGCGCACCTCGTACTCGTGGATGTCCTCGTGGCCGGCAGCAGAGAAATCGATGTACAGCACGCTGACGATCACGGAGGTGTTATTTCTTCTCTGCGGGGGTCACAGACACTTGTTCACACCCAAGGCGGCTGCGGCTCTCCCGGTTTCCTCTAAATATACACAGGCCTGATCCCATAGCTTAGCCACAGCTTCCTTGATACCTCATCTCTCAAAGGAGCAGAAGGGCCAGCAAGTTGGCTCAGTGGGTAAAGGAACTTGCGCCAAACCTGACAACCTGAATTAGACCACTGAAACCCAAATAGCAGGAGGAGAAAACTAACTCCCATAAGTTGTCCTCCCTCTCTCTCTCTCTCTCTCTCTCTCTCTCTCTCTCTCTCTCTCTCTCACACACACACACACACACACATGCTTAATTTAAAATAATTATAAAAGGAGGCTGAGAACTAGAAGGTTAAGCCCAGTGTTTCCAGAGAGGCACAGAAAGACGGGCCTTGATGTTGCTATTGCTTTGGCACTCACGCCTCAGTGACAGCGGCTCCTTACAGAGGTTGGACCTGCACTAAAGTGCCCAGCCTTTACCCTTCCAGGCAATGATTCTATGGTCTATGGCCCTACATTTTGGGACAGGGTAGAGTTCTGAAACTGAGTATTCATGAGTCGTTGGCTCTAGGACTTCATGATTTCATTTCATTTCATCTCTTCGTTTGAGAGTGAAGATGGGCATGTGTTTGTGTGTGTGAACATGTACATGTGTGTTTGTGTATTTGGAGGCCACAGGTCAACTCTAATTACATGCCCCAAGAATCACCCACCTTGTTTTTCAGAGACAAGGTCTCTCGCTGGAATGTGGGGCTCGAAGATTAGGCTGGATTGGCTGGCCAGTGAGCTCAGCAAATAAGCCAGTTTCTACCTCCCTGGCATAAACCACCATGCCTAGCTCTGACTGGTCTGGCCTAGCCTGGAACTTGCTATGTAAAGTTCAAAATCAGAGATCTACCTGCCTTTGACTCCCAAGTACTGGGATTAAAGATTTATGCTAGGCTGGAGAGATGGTTTAGTGGTTAAGACCCTGGGCTGCTCTTCCAGAGGTCCTGGGTTCAATTTCCAGCAACCACATGGCAGCTCACAACCATCTCTAAATGGACCTGATGCCCTCCTCTGGCACTCAGGCAAACCTTCATACAGAGCGCTCATATATAAAAAATGTATATAAATAAATAAAGGTGTGTGCCACCACACCCATCTTTAAGGGTTTCTGTTTGTTTTTTAATAAGCTTAGATCTGGGGATAAAACTCATGTCTTCACACTTGCATGACTAGCACATTACCGACGGAGACATCTCCCCAGCCTTCTAGAACTTTGTCTCCCTCATCCCATAACCACGCAATGTGGCTGTGTCCCAAGAGAATCCCTAGGGGCTTCAGGGCATGAAGCAGAGGTGAGAGCAGACTATTCTGGCCGCCAGACGCCCCTTGACCTCCTTCTACTGCTTAAAGGAAGTGGCTTTCTGGAAGCTGGGAAGGTAGAGCAGAGGACTGTGGGGGCCAGAAGCAAGTAGCAAGGCATGGGCATCGGGCCAAAACAGACTGCAAATCCCCAGGGTGCACTGCCCAGGGACTCCCTCAGACCCCACCCACCCACCCTGGCCTGAGTTCACAGCCTCCAGCACCCAAGGAGAGCAGAAAAATCTCATTGGTAAGCAGTCTTTGGAGGGAGGTGGCTCTATACTTGAAAGGCTCATTTGTTTGTGGAGCTCAGAGATGTTCTGGGGTCACCAGGTTGGGGAGGATGAGCAGGAAGTGTGCAGGGGAGTGGTTGTGTATATTAAAGGAATCAAGGCTCCCATTCCCGTGGGGAGGCTCTCAAAGGGAGGATCAGGGAGGAAATTTAGGGTTGTTCACCACTGGGGTCTTTTGAAAGGATGCCAGTAAGCCTGCATCGGGACCTGGGTGCACCACTGAAGCCAGGAGAGAATCTGAGGGTAGCAGGTGCCCTTCAGTAAGGCTCAGAGCCCATCTCTTACAGCTCCCCTTCCCTGCCCCTACCTGAGACTCAGTACCGCAGGTGTCAAAGCGGGCCTGGATCCGGAAGTTGCTACCAACTTCCTGGGCTGCACAGCTCCGGCTGCCCAGGTAGACCTTGGTCCGCTCCAGTGGGGCCAGTGCCTGGGCAGAGATCAGGATCTGGAAGTCTGTGCGGGAACAGCTCACATTCATGGGTACCACTGGAACAGAAGGGAGGAGCCTGAGATCTTAGGCCTGCAGTCAGACCCATCATCCCCAAGCCTTCCTGAAGGATAGCAGACTTGGAACAGAAGCTCAGAGTAGGGAAGGTATTTACAGCATCCTACAGGGCTGAGACGGGATATTCACATGCATTGTTCCACCACACCATTGGGTCTGTGAGTGCTTAGGGCATGTGGTGTGCCCGTGTCTCTGTGTCCTCCGAGGCCGGCATAGAGCTTGGCAGACCAAGGGAATGTTGAATGAATGGATGAATGAACGATCGAGCATGCGAGTGAGTGGAGACTAATTCTTCACATTAGAAGTGACTGCTCATCACAGCCAGATGCCCAGCAGTGTGTCCCGTCATCCATCGGCCCGTCATTACGGATGGCCTGCTCTGTGCACACACACAGACATGAAAGAGCCAGCCACCCCACTGCTTGTGCAGGGCAATATATGTGTGAAACACCGGAGTGCTATGAAGGACCATCAAGCGAAGACAGAAGACGGTAGCTTTGAAGGATGCGGGGAGGGGAGCCCTGTTGCCCCTCCCTGCGATGGCCCGAGAAGTTGGGTCACTTCTGTTTTGGAACAAATCCCTGAGAGGAGAAGAAACTGCTTGTTGGTGGCTGAGTTGGGACTTCAGACTTGGGGGGCAGGATTCCCTACTTCTCAGTCTGTTTTTTACTGTCAGTCAGCTCCCAGCATGCTCTGTGCTGTGCAAGAGTGTGATTCTCAGTGTCTGGGACTTCGGGGGCAAGGGTGCATGCAGGGGCGTGTGCAAGGAAGAGGCGGGTGGGGGTTGGTAGCTAGCTGGAAGGAAAAGGAAACCTGGCAGGCAGAGCCCTGGATCCCTCAGCCCTCCCTGGGCAACGTCTCAGACATATTTCAACCTCGGGTGTCTGGGCAGGCGGGGATTTATGGGTCCGCTGTCTCCCACGATGATCTCGGCGGCGCTGAACTGTGTGTCACCCCTGATTGATGCCGAGGCTGCCCTCCCTGTGGAGAGGCTGCCGATAGCCTGGGCCCCATCTGGTGCTGGTCCAGTGTGAGTGCCCTGTCTGACCCTAGGCTCCCACAGGGACCTGTGTGGGGAGCACAGAAGGCCCTGGAACAGGAGCCAGGATGACAGCTGCCCCCTCCTCCTCTCTAGAGATGTTGCAAGAAGAGACTGTCTAGATCACTTAGCCCTGCCCAGGCCGGGCCTGAGAGCCAGGCTCTCAGAGGCAAACTGGACCCTAAAGACCCTTCAATCCATCCAGGTCCTTGATGTCCAGGCGGGAAAACCAGGATCTGGAGACCAAAAGGGAGCTCCAGGTCACTGGACAGAGTATAGATAGCACCTGGCTCACAATATTCTCTTTGTCCACGAAGAATCAGAGATAGTACCAAGAGTCACAACTGTCCTTCCCACAGGGACAGGGCACTGTCTGAGCCCAGCAGGGTGGTTTTGTGCAAGTCTCTAGAAGCTATCAGCTCGCAGCAGCTGGTTCCCACTCTGCTACCAGGGCCCCAGCTCCTCTGCCGCTGGGGATGAGGAAAGCAACTCCTTTCACTGCTGAACAGGCCTAGGCATGTGAGGGAAAGATAGCCTCAGAACCAGACATACTTGCCGCCCTCACTCTTCGCCTGACTCTGGGCTCACCAGTCCTGTATGACTGAGTCCCTGTTACAAAAGTTAGAAAAGCTAAAGAAGCCTCAATGCCAGCTTCCCCAGCCACCTCTGCAGCAAAAGCGTGGCCATGTGACTGATTTAAAAACAACGTGACCAGGGTGATTGCTCTTTGGGCTTTCAAGGGAGGGGGACTAGGTTGGGGGAGAGGGGAGGGAAATGGGAGGCGGTGGCGGGGAAGAGACAGAAATCTTAAATAAATAAATAAATAAATAAACAAACAAACAACGTGACCCAAGACAAAGCATTGGGAGAGCTTTGAAAATGTTTTGGCTTGCCCGGCCTTTAATCCCAGCAGAGGGAGGCAGATTTCTGAGTTCGAGGCCAGCCTAGTCCACAGAGTGAGTTCCAGGACAGCCAGGGCTACACAGAGAAACCCTGTCTTGAAATTTGCCCTCTCCCAAAAAATGCTTTGGCTTTCTGGATAATGGGATTTTTTTTTTTTTTTTTTTTTTTTTTTTTTTTTTTTTTTTTTTTTTTGTGACTAGCACCTCTCCTCTTCCAGCCTTAAACATGGACTTGATGCCTGAGTTTTGTGGCAATTATGTGGCAAACCCAAGTCTGAGTATCTCAGAGGTGCCATTAGGACATTCTGAGTCCCTGGACCCAAACAACAGTTGGCTGATTAGCTTCTGCTAAGTGAAGATACATATTTGCCCTCTGTCTAGTCAGCAGTTCTAAATGACATGGGCAGGGCTGGTGGCATCTCAGTGTGTCACCTAATGCTGACCATTGATAACTTGACATGTTTTGTGCATCAACCCGGGAAACCAGGTCAAACATCCGAGAGACATGGAACCCATAGGAAAAGGAGCCAGGTGGGGAAGAATTAAGAATCATGGAGACAGAAGCTATGAAAAGAGGGTGGAAATAAGTGAGGGCCACAGCTGAGTGGCCTCAAAGGTCCTCAGAGCAGGCACCTGAGTAGGGCCCGGAGAACACCATAGAGGGGCTGTGTGACCGTGAAACAGGAAGGAGGCTGTGGGGTTCCCCAACACCCACACTCTTAACTCAGCTGACCTCCAATGTAGGCCACAGAGAAGCCCCTGCCGGAGGTGCTGCGGTCCGTGTGCAGCAGAAGCAGGAGCTGGTTGTGATGAGAGGTGACGGGAGGTGGCAGGTGATGGCCACACCATTTCCCCAGCAGCTGTGCGTCCTCGCTGGCCCCATCGAAGGCTGCCAGATGGTCAAAGTCACAGGTTCTGGTCAGGCTGTTGGGTTCCTCCAAGCCCAGGTCCAGGATGAAGATCTTGACGCGGTAGCCTGGGGGCAGGCGGATGGTCCAGTGGCAGCGGATATTGTTGGGGTAGGAGCCAGGGTACTGCGGGCTGGAGAAGTTTCCACGCACAGCTGTGAATACCTCCTGGCATTCTCCTGGGGAGGAGGAAGCAAGATTCGCTCACACACAAAAATGACCAACAGCTAAAGTCTGGGTCTGCGGCCTGAGGTGCCACTGGGAGGCGGTAGAACCTTCAGGATGTGGGGGACCTACTGGAAGAAGTTGGCTCACTGAGAGGATGCCCTCAAAGCGGGCGCTGGGGCTCTGGGGCTCTGGTCCCTTCCCTTTTTCTGGCTCTGCTTCCTGGCTGTCGAGGAAGCAGCTTTTGTTCCCCTCTTTGCTCCCTCCTGACAGGCCTCTGGAACTGCAAGCCATGGTGGACCTTGTCTGTCTCAGGTACAGAGAGCTAACATTCTGTCAACACACCAGCCTCGCGCTCAGTCAGCCAGCACCCCTCTGCGCCTCTGCACACAACGCCCATGCCTCTTGGCTGGCTTCATCAGGGCTCTGCTCAGTTCCTCCTCCAGGAAGTCCCCCGGTTAGCACTCATGATGGTGGCTCATCACTGTGCTGCCCATCGGAATTCTCTGAGCATGTTCACCCTTCTGTACACACGTCATGTGAGCACGTGGTACGTGTATGTAGTACACGAGAACAAGGAGCTAGCTCACCACCAGGCAGGGAGGGGACAAAAGTGAGAGGTGGTGGATAAGAATATGGAGGAATTCTCCTCGGTGGCGAGGCTCGCAACCTTCCTTACGCTGCAACCCCTTTAAAAAAGTCGTTCCTCATGTTGTGGTGACCCCCCAACCATAACTATTTTCATTTACTTCATAATTATAATTTTGCTACTGTTATGGATTGTAATGTAAACATCGGATATGCAGGTTATCTAATGTGTAACTCTCGTGAAAGCGTTGGTCAACCCCCAGTGGGGGGTCGTGACCCACAGGTTGAGAACCACTGCTCTGAAGAGTTTAGAAGGGATTGATCTCGTCTGAGCAAGGCAGAAAATCCAAGCCCCAGTGACACAGAAAGCCTTAACTGAATTCTCAAATGAAACAGTAGACAGGGGTCCACAGGCACAGGTGCTGGCGTCGGCTCCTCCTACCTGAGAAGTAGTGAGCCTTGAAGCCCCGGCCTCCAATGTTGAAGTCAGATTTGAAGACCACCTGCAACTCATGGCCCAGGGACACAAGGGTAGGGGGTCTGGTGCGGCCACAGTAGTGGTGCCCACGGGCAGGGCCAGGAGCGCCAAGCACAGCCACGTAGTCGTACGTGCATCCGTCGCTGCCCTCCACCTGGAAGTCCATGAACACCAACTTGACAGCGGCGGGGCCCGAGGCCCGGATCAGCCAATGGCACTCCACGTTGTTGGGGTAGTTGTTGGGGTATTCGGGGCTGCTGAGGACCCCCGACAGGCCAGTCAGGACACCACCACACACATCTGCAAGGGAGATCATTTGAGGCTGACCTCCTCCCAGGGAACCAGACACCCAAAATGCGTCTCCACAAACATCCATGCCTGGCAGGCACAGACCTGCACCCCGACCCATGTGGCATCCACTTTTTACAGTGGGAGGTCAGGTAACTTAACCTAGAGGCCTGAGTTCATCCAGGTAGGCCCAGAGATAAAAACCAGAGTGCAAAGGGGTTTATCTGAAGGACATCAGAGGGTGAGATGAAAAGGTGAAATGGGCCTAAGGGGGCTGCTGAACCCCACTAGGGAATTCTAGTAAAGCAGCCACCTGAGTTCTATCACCCGAGGAGCGAAGGTGACAGGGAGTTATATGACTATATATATAGTCGTATAACTATATTACTATATATACTATATATTTCTATACTATATATATATACACTATATATATATATATACACACACTATGTGGTAGCTCAGAGGAAAATGCTTGCCATAGGCCCAGGTATTTGAATACTTTGTCGCCAGCTGGTAGAACTGCTGGGAAGGATTAGGAGGTGTGGCCTTGTTGAAGGAAGTGCATCTCTTGGGGCGGGCTTTGAGGTTTCAAAAGCCCATGTTATGACCAGTTAGCTATGTCTCTGCCTTAAACTAGAGATCAAGAGGTAAGTTCTCAGCTACTACCCCAGTGGCATGTGTGCCTGTCTGCTGCCATGCTCCCCGCCACGGTGGTCATGGACTCTCACCCACTGCAGCAGTGAGCCCTAAATAGACATCTTGGTCATGGTGTTCTGTCCCAGCAAAAGAGAAGTGTTGGGGGAAACCAGAAAGAGTCTCGGTGGGAGACCACAGACACCAGCGGAGCCCTCAAACAGACACGTGGAGATTGGCAGGACAAACCCAAAGTGACAAGAGCCAAGAGAGCTGCACTTGTGTGGCAGGAGCGTGGCACGGGGCAGCTAAGGCTTGACTTCCTGGCTCAGGACTGCTTTCTCAGCTGCGTGATCTTAGGCAATCGCATTCCCTCTCTGGCCTTCAGACTTCCCGAGAAACGAGATGATAGGTAGAGATAATCTGAGCTATCCCATCAATTAATACCAACACTGGAGCAGGCATATGCTTCGGACTTCACTCTTATGCTGGGCACACGTGTGGTGTGTGTGTTTACATGTCTGTGTGATGTTCGTGCCCATGCAGGTGTCTTATGTCAGAGGTTGGAAAAGGACATCAGACGTCCTGCTCTCTTGCTCTCTGCACTGTCTCTGAGACAGGATCTCTCTCCCTGAAGTTTGCTCATTTTCATCCAGGTTAGCTAGATGGCCAGCAAGCCCCAGCACCAGGGTCCCAGGTGCCCATGGCCGTGCCTGGCATCTCCTGTGGATGCTGGGGATCCAAGAGATGGCATACAGAGCACTCTCCCCAGCCCCGCTATCTTTTAGTACAATAAAAGACAGGACCCAAAGTTACATATCTTATACATAATTTAGCCCAGTGGAGACCGTCGATACCCACTGTTATATATTTCCCTGTTTTTCAGTGGTTGGCTTCTTACGAGTCAGTGCTGGAAATGTGAGCTTGGGGCCAGGGCAACAGCTCGGCTATTAAAGTGTTTGCTGAGCAAGCGTAAGGACCGAGATTTATCCTCAGCATTACCACAGAAGTCGGGCATGGCAGCTCACGCTTATGATCTTAGGGCAAGGGAGGTGGAGGCAATCTCTGGAGCTCGCCTGCCAAATGCCCTTCTAGCCTAATTGGAGAGCACCAGGTCTCAGCGAGGCAGCTCCCGAGGAACACCTGAGGTTGACTTCTGGCTGACACCCACGCACCCACATACGCACCCACACACACACACACATGCGTGCAAACACATTTATATGCACACAAATGTGAACTTGTGAAATACATGCATATCATTAAAATACCACCTTTATCTTTTTAGATATCAAAAACTAAGAAGATGGCACTGCCTGCTATCAGCTATTTCTTGTTTGCGAAAATGTTGGAAAGCATTGCCTGTGACATCAGGACACCTTTGATACCTTAGAGTCCTAAAACTCCCAGGCCTACGATCTCCATGTGCTAGTCAGATGAGCCCCTCGTTCCTGTGTCTTAATACAGTACAGTTCCGTGCTTCTAAATCCAGCAGGAGCTGCCAGCCTTCCTGAGCCCTACGGTTGCAGGGAGTAGACTTGTGGACATGGGCATTTGTGGCTGTCCTGCTTGGGCTGACATAGAGACATCTGATATTGTCCTGGGGAGAAAGGAGGACTTTTGGGTCTGTACACAGGAGCTCAAAGATAGGAGGAAGGAGGCATGAAGAAAGGGGAGGACCGGAGCTCCACCTGGGTGGCAGGAGACAGGCCTGCTTGGAGGAGTCAGGGATTAAGGAGGATTGGTAAGGGCTGCATGCAGGGAAAGACCCTAAGAAGAGGAACCACGGGTTCTAAAAGCTCTTGTTCCTGATGCCCTGGACCCAGGCAAGGGAAGAAGGCAGAAGTCACAGGACTTCAACAGCAGGGACAGCTGGGATCCTCCTGCAGCATGATGTTGGCAGAGGAGAGTGGCAAGCCTCCTTTCAGGGAACAGCAAGCTGCAGGGGGGCGGGGGGACCCAGCAGTCATGGAGAAGGAAGGAAAGAATCTTAAGGGCAGCAGGTAGTAGTTTCTGGGGAGGTCATGGGTGTGAAGAAGCCACCTTTGCCCCTGTAGGCAGTGCTAAGATGCTACCTGCTCACCTCCCTTGTGTCCTGTCCTTCCCCCCCCTCCCGCAGCCACTGGGGCCAACCTTCCTGCCGAGGGCCTCCTGACCTTTCTGGTAGCCTGCAGAAAAGCCTCGGCTGGCCACATGCTTGTCCGAGTGGAAGACGACAGACATGACGTGCCACGAGGAGGTGAAGGGTGGTGGGGGCACCTGGCCACAGAACCTGCCCAGGAGATTGCCCTTGTCTCCAGATGCCCCGTTGTAGATCTCTAGGAAGTCAAATCCACAGGTGTCATGGTACTCCAGGTCAAAGGCGTGGAAGGTGAGCAGCACCGAGGACCCCTCGGCCACCACGATCAGCCAGCTGCACTCTGTGTTGTAAGGATACAGGCTTGGGAAGTTCGGGCTGGAGAAGTTCCCAGATGGTGCCGAGAGTACACCCCCACACTTGACACCTGAGGCAAGAGAAAAGGATGGTTTAGAGTCGACTCTGGGGCCTTGGATACAAAGGCAAGTCTGGGACCTTGAGGGTGAATAGGAAGCAGGACAGGGTCCCAATCACTCTGGAGGTGTGTCTGTGCTCTCTCAGGCACCCCCATTTCTTTCAGATACTGGGGAAGCATTCTTCTAGTCTGTCAATAAGCACTGTTGGAGTCCCGGGCAGTGCTCTTAGATGCTGGGAGGACAGCAGGGATAAAGACCTTGCTCTCAGGCATGCGTGTGCTGGTGGAGAAAGAATAAACACAAACAAAGCATGGAACAGACAGGAGAGCAGTGAGTTCTGAGGAGAAAGAGAAGGCAGGTGAAGCCAGGCGTGGTGGCGCACACCTTCAACCCCAGCATAGGAAAGAAGAGGCACTGGGATCTCTTCGAGTTCAAAAACAGCCTGGTCTATAGCGTAAGTTCCAGGCCAGCCAGGGCTAGGTAGAGAGACTCTGTCTCGAAAATAAATAAACATTAATAGAGCCAGCTGATAGTGGCGCAAACCTTTAATCTCAGCACTCAGGAGGCAGAGGCAGTTGGGTCTCTCTGAGTTCAAGCCCAGCCTGGTCTACAAAGCAAGTTTCAGGATTCAGGACTACACAGGGAAACCCTGTCTCAAAAAATCAAAAATAAACAAACTAACCAAAAAGGTAAATAAATAGAAAAAAATAAATAATTTAAAAGGAAACAACAAAAAGAAATTAGGAAACCAGAATTTGGCCACCTTTAACGGAATACTAGGCTAGAAGCATCTGTAATGTCTGTTCAGTCACCAAGGAAAAAGCTGTTAAGAGGGAAAACCCAGGTCAGCCATTCAGGTGTTTTCTGTGAAGTTCACTCAACGACGCTAAGCTTTTGGAGGAAAAAAAAAAGGGTAAGAGTAGCCTCAGATCAGCCTCAAACTTGTAATCCTGTTGCCCTCAAACTTGTAATCCTTCTGCCTCAGAATGCAGAATGCTGAGATTACAGATGCGTGCCGCTACATCTGGTTCAAGCCTTTGAAAAACATAAAAAGGCACAGCCTGATACAGTAGCACACACCTGTAGGAGCAGTACTCTGGAGGCTGAGGCAGGAAGAGGATTGTAAGTTTTAGGCAAGCCTGGGTTACAAGGCAAGACCACGATTCAGAGTAATAAAAACAACCATCAACACTACAGTAGCCACAGCAACAGGGCTGACAGAGGTCAGAGGGAGACAAAGAAGGTGGGTGTGGAGTAATCAGGATGCAGCGTATATGTGTATGAAAATGCCAAAGAACAAATTCAATAAATAAAAGATAAGCCAAGAGGGAACCTTATATTGTAGAATGCTATACAATTTGAAGTGCATACACATCCCTTGCGGAATCTTTTTTTTTTTTTTTAAGGTAAGGTCTTAGCTATATAGCCCAGGCTAGCCTTGAATTGCAGATCTTCTTACCTCAGCCTTCTAGGTACTAGGATGAAAAGTGTGTGCACATGTGTGTGTATGTGTGTGCACATGTGTGTGTGCACGTGTATGTGTGTGTGTACTCCTGGACTCAAGAGGTCTTTCTGCCTTAGCCTCCCCAGTATCTAGGACTATAAACATGTACCACTGTTCCCCACATTAAAAAGGAAACAATCTAACAAAGATGTTTGTTAGATTGTTTTGAGCCTTTCAATGTTTTGGTCTTTCTATGTGTTATGGTCTTTCTGGCTGACGTGGAACTCACTAGTAGACCAGTCTGGACTCCAATTTTCTTGGATCCTCTCACACTGGTTCACGAATGTTAGGATTACAAGCATTGTGTGGCATTTCTGCGCACACGTGTGCATGTGGAGGCCAGAGCTTGACTTCAGATACTGTTCCTAAGATGCTATCCAGAGCTCACCAAGAAGGTTAGGCTGCCTGGACCATGCAGGGAGCTGCTTGTTCCTGCTTTCCCAGCCCTGGGATTATGAGCATGTGGCATTGTTTCATGGCTTCTGAATCTTGAGCTCACTTGGGTCCTCCTGCTTGGCACGGCAAGCACTTTACCAACTGAACTATTGCTCCAGTTTGTAAAAGAAAACTCTTTTTTCCCTTTCTTTCTATTTTTTGGTTTTCCCAGACAGGATTTCTCTGTGTAACAGTTCTAGCTATCCTGGAACTAGCTCTTGTAGACCAGCGTGGCCTCAAACTCACAGAGATCTGCCTGCCTCTGCCTCCTGAGTGCTGGGATTAAAGGCGTGCGCCACCACTGCCTGGCAAAAGAACACTTTTTTTTTTAAAAAAAAAAGATTATTTATTTATTACATATACAATGTTAGAAGAGGCCATGAGATCTCATTATAGACGGTTGTGAGCCACCATGTGGTTGCTGGGAATTGAACTCAGGACCTTTGGAAGAGCAGTCAATGCTCTTAACCTCTGAGCTATTTCTCCAGCGCAAGAACACTCTTTAATGAAATACAAAAATTAATTTTGAGGCTAGAAAGATGGCTCAGTGATTAAGAGCGTTTGCTACTCTTGCTGAGGTCCTTGGTTTGATTGCTAGTGCCCACGTGACAGCCCATAACTGTAACTCCAGTTCCAGGGCATCTGATGCCCTCTTCCGGCCTCCACAGGCCTGCAAGGGGTGCACAGACATATATGCAGACAAAATACTCACAGGCATAGACTAAAAATAGGTAATTCTTCAAAGTATAGATTTGTACTTATTACTGTGTGTTCATACATGTGTGGGCATCATGAGAATGGTGGGGGATGCTGTCACAAGCGTGTGGAAACTTATGGCAACTTTATGTGGTTGTAGGGACCAAACGCAGATCATTAGATTTTTGTGTCAAATGTTTTCACTTTCTGAGCCACCTCATTGTCCCCCAAAAGGAATATTCTTCTTCTTCTGTTTTTTTTTTCAGTTTGTTTGTTTTTTTTAAAATATTTATTTATTATGTGTACAATATTCTGTCTGTGTGTATGTCTGCAGGCCAGAAGGGGGCACCAGACCTCATTACAGATGGTTGTGAGCCACCATGTGGTTGCCGGGAGTTGAACTCAGGACCTTTGGAAGAGCAGGCAATGCTCTTAACCACTGAGCCATCTCTCCAGCCCCTGTTTGGTTTTTTTTGAGACAGGATTTCTCAGTATGTAGCCCTGGCTATCCTGGAATTTGCTCTGTAGACCAGGCTGGCCTTGAGCTCACAGAGAGCCACCTGCCTCTGCCTCCACACTGCTGGGATTAAAGGCGTGTGCCACCATCTGGTTCTTCTTTTTTTTTTTAAGATTTATTTTTTATTTTAAAATTTGTGTGTTCTTGTGTGTCCATATGGGAGTGTGTGTGTGCGTGTAGGTGCCGTTGAGGCAGAGGTGTCAGATCTCCCTGGAGCCACCTGTTCCCATGGGTCCTGGGAACAGAACTAGATTCCCCTGGAAGAGAAGCCAGTGCTCTAAACACTGAGCCTTCTTGCCAACCCCAGGAACATTCTTAATAAAACCACAAGGCTCCATTTGGCCAGGCCAAGGATGGAGAACTTCTGTGAGATACACAACCCCCGTAGTCCAACAATAAACGGCGAGGGGGCATAGTGCTGGATTAGGAATCAAATGTCAGCCAAGCAGAATGCGCGGCTCTTTCTCAGGCTTTTTGTGTTATTGACCTCATTTTGCAGATGAGAAAACTGAGCCTGGAATGGGAAGTTACCAAAACTGACATCTATTGGTCAGCACCCTCTCTTCTAACTCGTGGGACTCCGGCTGCCTGTCTCAGACACTGCTGTGGCTCTGTGGTAGTTCTGACCTGTGGAGAGGGTAAGTGTTCTAGGCTAGGATCCAGCACTTCTCAGAACGTCTGGGGGTGGGGGTGGAGCGTGTCTCTTCCTCCTTGGCCTTAGGTTGGGAATGGGAGCCCTGAGGGTCCATGTTCACGCTGTGGAAACGTCCACAGAAGGCAAGAGCCATGTGAAAAAAAAATGGCCCTGGGCCAAGAAGCCCTGGCTGCTGGCAGGCTCAGCTCCATCTCTGTTACCCTGTTATAGAGCCCAAGATACCTTCTTGCTAAGTATATACAGCTTGGGTCCTGTCACTTGCGGCCAAAGGAATCCTCAATTACACACTTGAACAAAGTCCCCGAGAGAAGGACACACTGCACAACTCTGCTCTGCTCCGCATCGCACGGCGGGCCTGTGCTGATTTGAACTGAGCCTCCCACCTAGGGTAGCTCACAAAGGGGATGGGGCTGAGGACAGTCAGGCAAGCCAGGTGAAGCCACACTGTGTGGTATGCTGTAGCTTGCATCGCAAAGGGCTATGGGATCGCAGTTTTAAGGGAGGGCTGAGCCCCACAGGGGAGGTGATATATGCAGAGCGAGAAGGGAGATTATAGCTACTGGGGAAGACAGGGCAAGGGGGCTCCGTCACTCAGCCTCTGTGGACCTCAGCCGTGCACCTACCAAGTGGGATGCTACCCTCATCCTTACTGAGTGCCACAGGGCAAGGGAGTCAGCGGCATCGCAAGGGTCATGGAGGGGATAGGTCACACGATTTCATCCTGTCTGGGCAGGCTGGTGCTGGGAGTGGTATCTGGTTCACAGCATTATGGCAAGAAGATGGAGGGACAAGTTATAGGAGCTGCTTGCCGAGTCCCCTGCCCCCCCAGCGAGTGTGCCCATTGCAGAATGGTGAAATTACTCCACAGTCTTCACACACAACACCACGAGGGGCAGAGTGACCCAAATCTACAACACTCACAGCCTGGAGTGGGAGAGCTCTGGGAACCTGGGGAGGGAGAATCTGAGCCCAATAGAGGATGAGGAGGGCTTTAAGGAGGAAGTGACGTGACCTAAACTTTAAGGGTGAACAGCAGAGAAAAGGGGACTGGCTAGATGGTGCAGTGGATAAAGGCTCTTGCCCAAGTCTGACCACCTGAACCACCCAGTACACACACGGTGGACGGAGAGAAACAGCTCCCACGGCCTGTGCGCTGAGCTCCACACGTGTGATCCAGGGCACCCGTGTGCACTCGCCCTCCACACACACAATATAATTGAGAAAAGATTTCAAAGAGAAACAGGACTCTCCTAAGAGATTCCAGGAAGAACTTCTTCCCAGGCAGAGGGACAGCGGGGACTTAAGATCCCCAGGGCAAGGCATTCTCAGAAAGAGTGTGGTTCCCAGCAGGCACACAGACGGGTTGGAGCCAGCACACCAGGGACACTGAATGGCACAGTGAGGAATTTGGCACCACTGGCTGCCGTGGGAAGTGCATCCGGCTCCCAGAGCAGAGGAAGACCCTTCCACACTTCTGAGCCATTCTCTTCACGCACAGCAACTGTACCTAAGCCTCTGAGCCTGTGAGTTTCAGCATGGGGGCGGGGACGGGGGAGCCAGCCTTCACTAGGCCTTTGTTCTGAAGATGAAATGCTCTTATGTGAAGCAAACAGTAGGCGCCCACTCAATGCTGTCCTCCCTCCACTACTCAGGAGCAAACACACACTCAACTTCCCGGCTTGTGCTTCTGGAGCCCCTGGTTCCTCTGCTCTCTCCTCCCATCCTCTCAGTTGCCCATTACTGGATCACCATCACCAGATCACCTACCTTCCATGGCTTGGGTCCCAGGACCTGAGTTCAGCAGTACCACTGCCAGCAACAGGCAAGCCCCCAGCTCAGCTAGCATCTCCTCACTGGGGGTCCCCCACCAAGGCTGAGTTCAGGGGTCAGGATCCAAGGGTCTGAGAGGGGAACGAGAGGTGAGGCTGGAAGGGCCCCCAAGTAAATGGTGCTGTGAATAATTCATCGGGCCCTTGAATTAGTAAGCCGATCCCAGGGGCTTCCTTCACTCCTCACTAAGGTGACGGATCTGGTGTCACCAGGTTGACACGTACTGAGAACTGCAATGGCCACTCTGTACAGGGAGGATCTGGGAGGAAATAGGGTAGTGGAGAAAGGGTCTACCTCCCAGGGCCTGAGGAGATGGGATCAATCCCAGCTCAGCCTCCAGATGGTCAGGTGGTGTTAAACAAGTCCTCTCACTCCTGTGAGGCTTGGCCTTCTGATCCAACCAGCGCAGTTATTCGGCTCTGCCTCTGGGGCTGCTGGGAATAAAGAAATGAGATCACATGTGCTAACGTGTGCAGTAAGCACTCAGAATATGCTGACATGCATGACAGGTGCATGCTCCTATCTTCCTCCATCCTCTGCTCCGGAGGGAGCCAAAAGGAGTCCAATGTTTGAGGGACAGATGGGACAAGTTTCCTTCCAATGTGAAAATTCAGCTCAGAGGGAGGGAGCAGGAGCTTGTGGACAGCGAGGAGAGGAGTCTTTTTTAAGGAAGACTGCATCGGGAGTAGCGGAATTGGCGCTTTAGATTTCTGCTGTGAGTCTTCCAATGCAATAGACATGGTTACAGTCTGTAGTGTAACCTGAACAGCACACGCGCCTTCGCTGATCACCAGCCTCATCTGCTCATCGCTGTGTCCAGGCCCCACGCTAGGAGCTGGGACTGCGGAGGAGTCCCCAGGAGTCCTGTGTCCAGCAGAAAATGGGATCTTTCCCCTTAATTAACCCACTACATGTTCTTTTCTAAGTTTGTTTTTCTCCTTCTTGTGTGCTTGTTTCTCTCTTTCTCTTTCTCACACACACACACATACACAGAGGCACGCATGCACACACACATACATACACAGAGGCACGCATGCCCACACACACACACACACATACACACACATGCACACACACACATACACAGAGGCACGCATGTACAGAGGCCCGAGGTCAACCTTGAGTGCTCTTCTCCAGGAACCATCCACCCTGATTTTTGAAACAGGGTCTCTTATTGAATAGAGAATTCACCAGTGAGCCCCAGGGATCCAGCTGCCTCTGCCTCCCTGTGATGAAATAAAACATGCTTGATACCATAACTGGTTTTTAAATATGGGTGCTAGGGGCTGGAGAGATGGCTCAGAGGTTAAGAGCACTGACTGCTCTTCCGGAGGTCCTGAGTTCAATTCCCAGCAACCATATGGTGGCTCACAACCATCTGTAATGAGATCTGGTGCTCTCTTCTGGCCTGAGGGCATACATGAAGGCTGAACACTGTGTACATAATAAATAAATAAATCTTTAATAAATATGGGTGCTAGGGATCGAACTCAGGTCCGTGTGTGTGTGTGTGTGTGTGTGCATGCATACGTGTGCACGTGTGTGTAAAGCACTTTCCCACAGCTCCCCAGTCCCTCCACCACGAATTTGTAATGCCTATGTTGGTGCAGAGCCTGCACTAGGCCTGGGGCACTGGGATGAAATGGGCCATGGGCCTGAGCTCTGGTTTCTGGCATACTGAAGTCAGTCTTGGCTGTCCCACTGCCTGACTGAGGGGTCTGTGGAAGTGAGCCTTGTCTCTACGACCCAGCTTCCTCCCCAGCAAGAGGTAGCTGCCACCTGCTATTCTTCACCAGGATTAACTGAGCCCATGGATGGATCTTACCAGCCTGGCTCAAACACCACAACAAGTGTGCTTTTTATCTACCCAAGAGGAATCCGGCCGCCCATCTGCCAGAGCACGTGTCGCCTCTGGCCCGTCCTTTTGTCAGGCCGTCTCCAGGGAGCCCCCGGCTGCTGGCAGAGGAGGCCACCTGGAAGGTGTTCAACAAAGGGCATCAGGAATGGTCCGACCAGAGCCCAGCTTTGCCATGGAACTGGACGGAAAAGAAAGTTCTGGGCAGGCTGAGAGGTAAAGCTTTTATCAAGCGTATGAATGAAGGGAGCCGGGCAGTAGTAGGGCGTGCCTTCAATCCCAGCACTCAGAGACAGAGGCAGGGGGACCTCTGAGTTCTACAGAGGAGTGCCAAGGCAGCCAGGACTACACAGAGAAACTCTGTCTCAATAATAACAATAAATAATAATAACAGAATGTTTATGGGTGAGGGGTGAGGCGTGGTGCTGGGGTGCTCAGGTGGCTCACATGCACGCGTCTTTCAAATATGCCCATACAGCAGGCTCCACAGTCAACAAGCTGATGCCCCACGCGTGTATCAGGGTCTTGGGGTGAGTTCTCCCACAAGAAGATTCTAGAATGAGGAGTCTGTTTGGGATGCAATCCCAGGAGTGCAGAGAGGGACCAGGCAGGATGGGGAAGAAGGTAACTCAAGCAGGGCCAGTGAGCAGAAGGGCTCAATCCAGGCTGGTGGCATAGACAGTGTCCTCAAGTCCCTGACCTTGAGGAGCTGACGCACAGTTTAACTGCCAGCTCTGCTTCAAGCGGCTTCAAAGGCAGTATTTGCCTGACTTTTCTAACCTGTGCCTGGCTCCAATGCCTGGGGCAGGAGGAGCAGGGGTGCAGGCAGAGCGCTGTGTTCATGGCACCGGTGAACACCAGCCAGCGGTGGGGATGCTGCTGGGACTTCTGAGCATGCGTAGAAAGACCATGACTTTTGTGACTTGGTGACTCCAGACTCCTCGCCCCCACCTCTGAGACTTTTGTCCTGCTCCCTGGCACCATTGTCTGTCTTCCTGGTACAGCCTTCCCAATGACACCACATCCCTGGGAACCTCCTCAGTTCCCCCAACTCAGCAGCTTCCGTTCTGAACACGAACTATCCCCACCCCTAACTTGATGTCCTGTGGTATTTCCCACATCAGGTCAAGGCACACCCACCCTACCTAGGCCACAACATGGACACTGCCTCAGCTTCCCTTCCTCACACCCACACACACTCGTCATAGTGCAGCTTCACAAGCCGAGTGTGTGTACTTCACCATCATGTCCATCGTGTCTCTGTGCAAACGTTATGGTGGAAGTGCACAGTTACCCCAGGGACCGTGTGCTTTTCCAAGGGCTAGGGTCCACATGCTTTTCTACATGCACTCATCTTTTTCCATGGCACACAGCATCTGCCGGTGTGAAGGTTTGTATCTCTCCAGATGTGCACACCCGCAGCTGGTACACATCTCTATGAGAACAGGTGTTCACACAGCTCATTGCCAAGGCTGTATGCGTCTCTGTGCACGTATTGGGGGTGCACATCTGGACTGGGGTTACACTCTAAGTCAGTTTTATCTTCGTGTCTGTACCTGTCACTGATCACTGAGTATAGGGATGGTGCCCAGGGAAACACAAGGGTGCTGTCTGGCATCTGCCTCCCTATTCCACAGAGGCCTGGACTAAGGGAGGGGCTGTGGCAGAGAGCAAAAAGAGAGAGGCCTGTCAACTCTGGGGACTCAGTTGGGATCCCAGGAGTCACATCACTCCCTTACCAGGGACCCCAGGGATCTCAGGGCATTTCCCAGGAGCACAGTAGCCAGGAGGTGGGAACAGGAAGGGGCAGCACCCCCATCCCAAACTTCTGTTGGAGCCTGACAGGAAGTCTTGGTGTCTACACAGTGTGTGTTGTGGGCCTAGATGACAGAGGATGGGGATACAGGAGAGAGAGGTGAAGGGTCCAAGTCAAGGGTGAAAAGGGGGATGGGCAGGTGGGCTCTGTGGAGCAGAGGCTGGTGGTGACCGGGGTGGAGACGATGATGGAAGGTGGTCCAAGGAGTTCATGGGTCCTCTTGGGACCACACCCCAACCCCAGGCCCAGGAAACTATAGCTAATGAATCCCCCCTCTCTCTTTTGAGACAAGGTTTCTCTGTAGCTTTAGAGCCCATCCTGGAACTCACAGAGATCCACCTGCCTCTGCCTCCTCGGTGCTGGGATTAAAGGCGTGTGCCCAGTGAGTCTCTATTATGTCAGTCACTCTAACCTGTTCCTTCCCCACAGGCTGAGGTGTGAAGGCCACGCACTACAAATGGCACCACCAAAGTCCAGGCAGGACAGGGACAAGGTTTTTAAGAGCCCTCAGACAAAAGTGTAAATTGTGTGACTTGCTCGTGGACTGGAGGGAAGAAAGTATGGAGGCTGGAATCACTGTCATTATGGACCTCACCCCAGGGTGGTGGCCACACACTGTCTCTCAGTCTCTGCCCTGTAAGAAAGGAACATTATCCCCATGCCACAGATGAGATAATTGAGTCCCAGAGCTGGGGCTAACCGAGTGGTGACTCGCCATCATGTGACAGGACAAGAGCTGGGGGAGAGAAAGAGCTCAAGTCCCCCCAGCACTGGGGTCTTGCATTATTCATGGTTTGCTGGGAAGGCAGGGGTCGGGCTTGCTTAGCACTGCCTCTGACACACTGTGGACCCTTGAGCAAGTCCCTCCCGCACCAAGTCTCAATTTCCACGTGGGTGAAGTGGATTCCTAAGCATACTCCAGCACCCCGGGCTACTGTGGGGACTAAATGCATGCTTCCGTGGGAAGCGACTCTGCGGAGCGTGAAGAGCCACGCGTCAGCAGGCCTCTGTGTGGCTGTGGCATCTGATGACAACCAGAGTCACCTTGACAGAGCAGGGTGTCCATTGACACCTCATGGATTGCTTCATTTACTCTCGTCCTCTCTTTCCAAGGAGCCCACCACCACCTCCCAAGGCACGGATGCTCAGGCCCACACCACTTGAGTGACAGATGGATGACCCGAGGCAGGGGTTGGGAGGAACTGCCAGGTGGGGTTAAAGGGAAGCTTGGCAGAGGGTCTTGCTGGCATATCTGCAGGGCCAGAAGGCCGGGGTGAGGACAGAAAAGCCTCCAGCCAGTCTAGCTTTTCTCCTCCTCCTCCCTTGAGAGCCTATTTATTAATCCTGCTTCTTTGGCCAAGCTGGGGCCTCTACCAAGCCAAGGTGGATTAGAGGAAGCTCAGTTACATAAGGGAAGGCAGCCTGGAATTGGGACCTCTGGGGAGTTTTCTGCCCTCCCTTTGGCCTCTGGATCCTTCTGGTCCCTCCGTGCTCCTCGGCACACTCTCTCACCTCCAAAAGTCAGTGCAGTATGAAACCTTCCGCTACCAGCCTTGAAGTGACTTCCAAGCCTGGGCTTGCACGCTTTACAGTGAAGCTGTGGTTATAAGCCACACCTCGCCTTGCTGCCTGCTGCCGGGTGCCTTGGTAGACAGTAGCCAGTGATAGCCAGGTCTCATGGCCTTGAGCAAATTCCTCTGCCTCCTTCTGTGCTGGTTTCCTCACCTATAAAATTAGAAAAATGAGCTAGGGTTTGCAAAGGGTTTACAAGAAGGCCTCACACCTTGGGATAGTTCTATTTAAACACACAGACATACGCACGCACACATGCATGCACGCACCAAAAAATTATAGGACAGGTGTGGTGACACACACCCTTAATCCCAGCACTCACCAGGCAGAGGCAGGTGGATTTCTGTGAGTTCGAGGCCAGCCTGATCTACAGAGTGAGTTCCAGGACAGGCTCTAAAGCTACAGAGAAACCACGTCTGAAAAAAACCAAAAAACAAACAAACAAAAACAAAACAAAACAAAAAACCAAAACCAAGACAACAACAAAAAACCCCAAACCAAACTAAACAAACAAACAATAAAAAATAAGTAAACATTCACAAACTTGGTCAGGTGTGACAACATCTGCCTATAATCCTAGTTACTAGAGATGGAGGCAGGAGGATTCCAAATTCAAGGTCAGTTTGAGCACTTTTTTTTTTTTTTTAACAAAGTACTGGGGGGGGGGATGGGGAAGATGTGTAGTACGAATTCTAATTGGCCCTAATAAATAAAAACCCAGAGTCAGACATTAGGGGTGAAAACAGACACCAGAGAAGCAGTACAGCCAGTCACTAGAGAGACCTTTATCTCTACTAAATCCTCAGACTGAAGGGGCGATCCTGTCTCTACTAATCCTCAGATTGTGTCCTCAGACTGACTGCTTCAGACTGCTGCCTCAGACTGCACTGAGTTCCTGATTCCTCCCGCCTTATAGTCCTCTCTCAGCCCAGCCATAATGCTCCTGTCTCCACCTCCCTAGTGCTGGGATTAAAGGTGTGGGATCCCAAGTGCTGGGATCACCTTTGTGTGAGCTCTGTTTCTCCTTTAGACAGATTCAATCTTGTGTGGCCCAGGGTGGTCTTGAACTCTCTGTCCCTGTCTCCTGAGATCTCTTTGCCCCTGTCTCCTGAGTCCTGTAATTAAAGGTGTGTGCCGTCACTCCCTGGCCTCTGGTGGCTTAACTCTGCACTCTGACCTTCAGGCAAGCTTTATTTGTTAAATCATTAACAAAATATCACTATGGCCTAGTATTTATGACATCCAGTTTTTTTCACAACAGTCTTTCAGGAGAGTTACCCATTCCAAGTCACTGCTTGATGACTGGGGTTCAGGGACAATTACTTGTTTTATCAAATTCATTTTTTCCACAAGCATTTATTGAGCATCTACTGTGTGCTAGACCCAATGTTTCATACGGTATGTACATTACCCCACTGAGTCCTTCAGGTCTGTGAGGAGGTGTTAGCATCCCCAATACCAAGTACCCTTGGAGCTGTGTTGCCCTAGCTGACAGTCCTAGCCGGTTATTGTCTGTTCCCCCACCAGCACATAGACACCAAGACAGTAAAAACTCCATACTCTGTTTACTGCCACATTTCAAGTATGTAGTACAGACTGAGTGTCCTGCAGCTGCTGGGAGACGGGCTTGAAACAGCTCCTTTTCAATGTTCAGAGAAGCAAGGGGCTTGCCCTGGACCACACAGCTACTCCATGGTAGAGCTGGCTTAAGTCTACCAGATGACCAGCTCAAAAGTCTACATTCTAAGTCTGGCGTGGTGGCACACACTTGTAATCCCTTCACCTGGGAGGCTGAGGCAGGACGACCCTAGATTGGACCACACTGCAAGACCTCATACCAGGAAAGAAAAAAAGGGAGAGGGATACACCCTTCCCCTTATTTAGTTTGTGTGTGGGTGTGGTGCATGCATGTGACACTGGAGCTAGGCTAGTCACCATGGAGCCAAACTGATCCTCCTGCCTCCACTCTATACCAAGTGCTGAGGTTCCAAGGGTGCTGGGCATCCAAACTCAAGCCTGCACATCAAGCTGTTACCCATAGAGCCATCTTTCCAATCCTAAGCCTTTGTTTTCACCACAGGGCTTATTGGATCCCATGAAAGCTCATTTGTGGGCAAGAGGTTGAGCTGGAGTGGGGACTCAGGATAGTGAGCTGCACATGCCTGGTGCCCAGAGAGGTCAGAAGAGGGTGTTGGATTCCTTGCAGCTGAAGTTATGGACTATTGTGAACCACTATGTGGGTGCTGGAAATCGAACTTGGGTCTTCTGTAAGCACAAGTGTTTTAATGAATAAGCTCTCTTTCTAGACTGTTTTGTTTTTATGAGATGTAGCCGTGGCTGGTCTCAAACTCTACGTAAAGCAGACTAGCCTCAGATTCACAGAAATACACGTGCTGCAGCCTTTCCAGTGCTGGGATTAAAACACATGCTACTATGCCTAGCTCACAACATTCTTTTAAAACCGTGTATTCAGCCAGGCCTGGTGAGCACTGCACTTGGGAGGCAGAAGCAGGCAGATCTGTGAGTTCAAGGACAGACTGGAGTATATATAGCAAGATCTAGGCCCCGTCAGGGCTACATGGTGAGACCCTATCAGAGAGAGAAAGAGAGAGAGAGAGAGAGAGAGAGAGAGAGAGAGAGAGAGAGAGAGAGAGAGAGAGAGANGGTAGGGGGCACGATGAGGGGAAGGGGTCAGAGCCATGACTCAACACACAGCATGGCTTCTAGGGCAGCTTCTGTGTTCATTTTTCCACCTGTGTTTAAATCATATGCTCCAGCTCAGGGTCACATATTAGGTTCAAGTTTTTTTTGTTCTTGTTTTTTTTTAGGTTTATAGTCTTTAATTTTGCTATTCACAACAAAACAGATATCTACAAAGATTTCCCTTCAATAGAAAGTCTCCCTGAAAATATAATCTTTTTGGTATTCTCAGGAGTAAGTAAGACAAATCTTTAAAGGAACTGTAGACAGCTATTAGTGGAGATCTTCGAGTATAAGCAACAGGACTCTGTGTAATTTAGGCAGCAAAATAATTCATTAAAAAGATACTAAGGGGGGCTGGGGAGATGGCTCAGAGGTGAAGAGCATCGCCTGCTCTTCCAAAGGTCCTGAGTTCAATTCCCAGCAACCACATGGTGGCTCACAACCATCTGTAATGGGGTCTGGTGCCCTCTTTTGGCCTACAGGCATACACACAGACAGAATATTGTATACAAAATAAATCTTTTAAAAAAATAAAAAGATACTAAGTAGCTTCCAGATCCAGTAGGCAGACTAAAGGAGCAGGGTTTTGTGGTTTTTTTTGTTTGCCCTGTGTTAAAACATTTTTTAATTGATATTTATTGAGCTCTATATTTTTCTCTGCTCCCCTCCCTACTTTTCCCCTACCCCTTTCAGCCCTCCCCCAAGGTCCCCATGCTCCCAATTTACTCAGGAGATCTTGTTTTTTTCTACTTTCTACTTCCCATGTAGATTAGATCTATGTATGTCTCTCTTAGGGTCTGCATTGTTGTCTAAGTACTCTGGGATTGTGGTTTGTAGACTGGCTTTCTTTGCTTTATGTTTAAAAACCACCTATGAGTGAGTACATGTGATAATTGTCTTTCTGTGTCTGGGTTACCTCACTCAAAATAACATTTTCTAGCTCCACCCATTTTCCTGCAAAATTCAAGCTGTCGTTATTTTTTTTCTGCTGCATAGTACTCCATTGTGTAAATGTACCACATTTTTTCTTATCCATTCTTCTGTCGAGGGACATTTAAGTTGTTTCCAGGTTCTGACTATGACAAACAAAGCTGCTATGAACAAAGTTGAGCACATGTCCTTGTGGCACGATTGAGCATCCTTTGGATATATACCCAAAAGTGGTATTACTGGGTCTTGAGGAAGGTTGTTTCCTAATTTTCTGAGAAATCGCCACAATGACATCCAAAGGGGTTGTACCAGCTTGCATTCCCACCAGCAATGCAGAAGTGTTCCCTTTTCCCCACAACCTCTCCAGCATAAGTTGTCATCAGTGTTTTTGATCTTGGCCATTCTTACAGGTGTAAGATGAAATCTCAAGAGTTGTTTTGATTTGCATTTCTCTGATGACTAAGGATGTTGAGCATTTCCTTAAGTGTCTTTCAGCCATTTTAGATTCCTCTGTTGAGAGCTCTCTGTTTAGGTCTGTACTCCATTTTTTTTATTGGATTATGTGATCTTTTGGTGTCCAATTTCTTGAGTTCTTTGTATATTTTGGAGATCAGACCTCTGTCTGATGTGGGGTTAGTGAAGATCTTTTCCCATTCTGTAGGCTGTCATTTTGTCTTGTTGACCATGTCGTTTGCTTTACAGAAGCTTTTCAGTTTCAGGAGGTCCCATTTATTAATTGTTTCTCTCAGTGTCTGTGCTGCTGGGGTTCTATTTAGGAAGTGGTTCCCTGTGCCAATGCGTTCAAATGTACTTCCTACTTTCTCTTCTATAAGTGTGGCTGGCTTTATGTTGAGGTCTTTGATCCAGTTGGACTTGAGTTTTGTGCATGGTGATAGATATGGGTCTATTTTCATTTTTCTACATGTTGAGATCCAGTTATGCCAGCACCACTTGTTAAATATGGTTTCTTTTTTCCATTTGATATTTTTTGCTTCTTTATCAAAGATCAGGTGTTCGAAGATGTGTGGATTGATATCGGGTCTTCTATTCAGTTCCATTGGTCCTCCTGTCTATTCTTATGCCAATACCAGGCTGATTTCAGTACTGTAGCTTCAAGTTTTATTTTTAAGCCTTATTAATTTTTATTTTATGTGCACTGGTGTTTTGCCTGAATGTATTTGTGTGAAGGTGCCAGATCTGCTCGATACTCTGGAATTAGAGCTACAGACAATAGAGCTGTTATGTGGGTGCTGGGACCAGAACTCAGGTCCTCTGGAAAAACCAGTACTCTCAACCGCTGAGCCTCTCTTTGGCCCCAGGTTCAGTTTTAGTTGTTTGCCGTAGACAATCTGCCCCCTCTCCCAGGTTCAAGTTTTAATTGTTTGCCATAGACAACCTGCCCCTCCCTCCTCTTTCAGGTGCCCCTGTGGTTACCCAGACCAGAGGTGAAGTTCCACTGTACCCAGGTGGGGGTGGGGGAGTTGGTACAGGCTCGCCTGCCCTCCGAGATGACTGGTGTGGCCTATCGTCCTTCTCAACGCGCCCACCTGGCCACTACTCTGAGTGCTGAGGTCCAGGATCTGGTCAAGACTGTCACCCCTCCCTAATATAAACGAGTGTGTTATCAGCAAGGGGCAATAAGATGTGGTGGCCTACAGCCAAGGTCTGTGGGACCTGTATGCAGACAGCTCTGCCACTTCCCTGTGTGCGAACCCTACACTCTTCTGTGTGGCACTGTGTGCGAACCCTACACTCTTCTGTGCGGCACTGTGTGCAAACCCTACACTCTTTGTGCGGCACTGTGCATGCCATCTGTTTGCAGTGAGCCCTGCAGGGTGGGGGCCTGGGACCCACATGGAGCTCTACAGTAAGGTATGACAAAGAAACTCGGTTCCCAGTCTGCCAATCAGCCTCACCTATAAAGACAGTGTTCACCTGGACAAGGCCGGCAGCTTTCACAGTTCATGCCAACTGAAGGTGTAAGACGCAGGGTCTGAAGGCCACACATGCTACAGCCCCTGGCCAGAACCATGTCACCATGAGCAGCACCCAGCAAGACATGCAGATTGGAAGCTCTGAGTGGCAACTATGTCTTTGGTTAATAAAAACACGGGAGATAAGGAAACATGATTTAATACTTGCAATTTGGGGACCAAATCCTCCAAAGTATAAGAAAAGGAATTAAAGGGGTGGGTTGTTTTTGGTTTTTTATTTTTTGAGACAGAGTTTGGCCATGTTGCTCAGTCTGGTCTTGAGTTCCTGGACTCAAGTGACCCTCCCACCTCAGCATCTGAGTAGCCGAGACTGTAGGAGAGCACCATCATACAGGGAGCACAGAGGATTACTGAAGGTGACATTTGGAAAGAAATGGTGTCCCCAGAGGTCAGCCCTGAGCTGAGCACTGCTGGGAATGGCCAGCAGGGAGACAGGGAGTGGACAGGCCTGTCATGATCTGGATATGAAATGTCCCCATATGTCGAATATGTGTTGTTTTAGAGGACGTTAGACACTTCAGCAGCACCTCACTGGAGGAAATAGGTCACTGGGGGTACAGGAGTGTCGGGGTGTCTCTGGGGGCTATGCCTTGTCCTGATCCCTTCCTCTCTCACGCTGGCTGCTCTGATGCTGTGCCTAGCCATAGACCCCAGGCAGTGGAGTCAGCTGATGGATCGAAACTCTGAGCTCCTTCTTCTGTTTCACTCAGATCTTTGTCTCAGTGGTTAAAAACAACAATGACAACAACAAAGAAACAAACCAAAGACCTCCTAATACAGGCCCAGGCACCCATGTCAGGCCATGCAAGCTGTTTCCCTTGTCCTCACTAGACTAAGAGATAACCTGAAGAATGGTTACATTCCCATTCTATAGATGAACAAACTGAGCTTCAAAAGAGCTAAGTTACTTGTTGTGGGTCACAGGAAGAGACTTGAACCTAGGTCTGATTTATTTTAAGAAGTGGATAAAAAGAAGGAGAAAAAGAGTGTACTACCACGGTGCTTGGCAAGTCATTTTGGATTTGAGTTGATGAGGAAAAGAGCAAGAACAGGGGAGCCAAGAACCTGCCACATCTGAGGGCCAGGGACACCCCAATGCCAGCACTGTTGGGTCTCACACCTAAGAGGTCTGGGGCATAGGAGCTCACAGAGACTCTGTGAATTTCTGAAGGGCTATGAAGGGCCAATCCTGCTGTGAGGAGGGAAAGACAGGGAGCATCTGAAGCCCCTACTTTTTAAAGTGTATGGACTGCTATGTTGGAGCATTTTGTTTTCCTCTGTTTTTGAGACAGCGTCTCAGGCACCCCAGGCTATCTTCAAACACATTAGGTAACCAAGGATAGCCTTGATCTGATCCTCCTGTCTCCACCTCCCAAGTGCTGGGGTTACAGGTGTGCACCTGTCCGGGTACAGCAGATACTGCCTTGCAATCTTTAATTGTAGAACTATTATTTTAAACACAGGTAGGGGAAAATAAAATAATAATAATGCAGCGACCAGGGAACCCAACACCCAGATTTTCCAGAATCTCATTTCAAGTATTTTCTGTAACACGATACAAGAGCAGGTATGGCCAGCAGTCCCTCCCTGGCCCTTGCCTGTCTGTGTATCACCAGCATTCACCTCTGGGCTTGCACTGGGCTATCTCTCAACAGTAAACATTATTTTGGAGTTTAATAATTCCCAAATACAAGTACTGTCCCAGTCCCAATTTTTTTTTGTGTGTGTGTTTTTTATTGGAGTGTGTGTGTATGTTTGCCAGAGGACAACTTTTGGGAGTTGATCCTCTCTTCACCATGTGGGTTCCAGGGTTCAAACTCAGGTTGTCAAACTTGGCAGCAAGCACTGGTAGCTGCTGAGCCATCTTGCTGGCCCTGTACCTGTCCTTTTACTATGAGCAACTTATTCCATTCCGACTTTTAAAAACATGTAATCCGTGTTGGTACATGGAGACCTGGTCCTGTCGTTTTTGACTACAGTTTGGTGTCCTCCTGGAACCCTTTACTGGGGCTCGGGTGTGCTAGAGTGTGTCCTTAGTTTAGCAACCATGAGGCTCTAGGACCAGTCCCCAGCATTGAAACAAAACAAACAAAAGGGAACTTCTTATTTCTCAATCCTCTTTTCCATGAATAGATTTTAGTCTTGACTGTCGCACGCCATATAGGAACAGAAGTCTATGTATATATACCTCCAGGTATACTCATGTATCATATAACTTTTAAAACAATTACACATGTTAGAACTTACATGATCTTGGTGGCTCAGTGGCTTAACTCGTGTCTCTAACCTGGGTAATATAATGGCATGATCCCCTGTGGATGAAGTGTTCAGCCATGTGTACAATACTGTACAATTCTGCTTATGTCTCAGTACTGTACCTCCAGGAGGTACTGAGCACCCTCTGTAATGGTAATATGGTAGCTGGGCTAGGTCAGGCAGGCTCTTGCTGTGCTCCCTGACTGATGAGGGGGTCAGTGGCAGAGGAGTCTGGGGTGCTGCTCTGTCTCTCTCACAGAGTAGTGAGCTCTTTGTTGGCCTCCTGAGCAGTACCCAGGGCACTCCATCCCCACAGCCTGCAGAGAGAGGGAGGGACTAGCCAGCTGACAGAACCTGCACACCAAGTGAGATGACTTCATGAATTCCAATCGGTCCTCTCTAATGATCACCTGTACCTTGCCAGGCACAACAAACACTAGCTGTGGACTCTCATGTACCCAGGTGACAGGAGAACTTTTGGCATCTTGGCATTGTGGGCACATCTGTGCCCTCACTAATGTTCCATGATAATTAATCCCACTAAGCAGAAAGCCAGGTGGTGGTAGCACACACTAATCTTGCACTCAGAAGGTAAAGGCAGGAAGATTTCTGAGTTTGAGGCCAGTCTGGTCTATAGAGTGAATTCCAGGACAGTCAGGGCAATGAAGGGATGTATATATAGTTGGATGTTTCCTTGCCCAACTCCATGTTCCCAAATACTCAGTAGCCACTTCCCAAATTACCACACAGAGGCTTATTTTAATTATAAATGCTCAGTCAATAGCTCAGGCTTATTACTAACTAGCCCTTACATTTTTAAATTAACCCATATTCCTTATTTATACTCTGCCACGTGGTGGTACATTTATTATCAGGGCACATTCATCTTCTCTCCCTCTGCATCTGCTGGTGACTCTAAACCCTGCCCTTCTCTTTCCCATCATCCTTAGTTTGGTTGCCCTGCCTATACTTCCCGCCTAGCTACTAGCCAATCAGCATTTTATTAAGCCAATTTGAGTGATAAATCTTTACAGTATAAACCATGTCTTGAAAAAGTAAAACACTGCACTAGTAGCCAGGTTGCCCAAATTCTACCAGAGTGAGGTGAGGGAAAGGGATCCACCCTAGGACGGGGTTGTCAGTTGCCTCTGGTGGCCTGATCTAAAGTCCAGGCATTAAATATCTAAAGCAGAAACAGAGTGAGGCAGGTGGGGACTGCCATAGACTCCTCGCCTTAAGTGGAGCCCTCCCCACCCTCCCAGAGATGAGCAAGAGCACTGCTTCTGAAGCTTCTATTCTCGGGGCAGGGGAGTGTCCTTGCCCTTCCTGCAGGCCAGGCTTAAGCCCTGCTCATCACTCTCTTAGCACCGAGGAGCCCATTTCTACAATACTCACCCCTTTTGGAGCTTCGAGTTCCAATGTGTGCCTTGGTTGGGGCTCTCCAGTGGGAAAGTTGTGCCTGGCACCTTTGCTGCTATTTCCTGGGATGGTCAGCTCTTTGTCTCCCAGGAGCATCCATGATGACCACCAGCAGGATTCAGGAAGGCATGGCGGTGAAGCTCTAGAGCCCTAAGAGAGGATTTGTATCTTGTCCCAAGCCATAGGCAAGGCGAGAACAGAGCATGAACTGTGCTTGGGAGGCCTGGTCCTGGGCCAGAGCCTTTCACTCATATCACACCTGCTGGGCCTGAGACGGGGTGAAAATGGTCCAAAGCAGGTTGAGGACCCAGGCCAAACAAAATGAAGCGTCTTGACTTATGTTCATGGAACTTTAATGTGCCCGTGACACCCAGTTCTGAGAAGTCACACCTAACACCCTGCAAACCACGACAGAAGTCCCATGTCCTTGATGCTCGGCGTGAAAACTTCCTGCCACGCAGCTGCTCACCATGTCTGTACAGTGAACACGGCCCAGAACAGGGATTCATTGGTTTTGATTTTCTGGGTGGGATAGCAAAGACAAAAATTCCTCTAGGCCTCACCACACCAACTTGCTGTGACTGAAGGGGACCTGGGATCCCTCTACACCCTTTCCTGCTGCCTTCCAGGCAAGGTTCCCCAGTGTCCCATGGAGGCCAGTTTGGAAAGCAGTGTGTACAACCATGAGCAGGGGGGGAGACCTGTAGGGCTGTCCCTGCCATTCAGCTTGGGCTGTCCCTGCCATTCAGCTTGGGTGAGCCACTCTTGGGGCCTTGGTTTCCCTGTTTGTATAGTGAGTCTGCTGGACAGGGTTTTCTGGCATCAGAGCATCTGCTCAGCTCTGCTCTGCGGTTAAAAATGCCTAATCCTGAAGGCTCCTAGCTCTCAGCTTCTAACATTCCACTGCCGAGCTTTAGAAGTCTGGGACTGCCTGTATCTAGCCTGTGCTGGCGCAGCATACTGGGGCCCAGGCTGTGGAAAGCAGAATTCATTAAGTCGACGTGATGCCCAGGGGCAGCAAGTTCCCTGGAGAGGACATGCCCTGTGCAGGATGGAGGAGGTGGGGGTGGGGGCTGGGTGGACCTCGATCAGCAGCCACTCAGTGGGCAGAGCTGGGAGAGGGACCCAGGTCTCCTGACTCCTGCTCTATCTTTAGATCTCCATAGCAACTGTCGCCAGGGCACCGAGCTGAAGGCACAGGCTATGTGGTTGCCTGCTGGAGGGAGGGGCATTTGCCTCTATTACTCTTCTTTTGTGGGGAAAGGACTCTGGGCTGGCTTCCTGAGCCAGGAAAGAGAAACTGAGCATGAAGCTGATCATGGCAGGAAAGACTTGGCACTGACACAGAACTGATCCAGGGAAGCGCCTTGTTCTGAGAACACAGTCAGGTCATCGAGCAAGGCCTTCAGCAAGTCAGGTTCAACCCATGGAAGGTAGAGAAGCTAAGGTCCTCCAGAGAGCTCTGAGCTTTTCCCGAAGTCATTCTCTTACCACCGACTCTGGACCCTCTGGAAGGATCAGAGAGGCTCCTCTCCCCTTATCCCATCCAGTGCCCACCATCCTGAGCTTGGCAGGACTCCATGTTTGGATTCCTTGGAGGAGTCTTCCCTGGCTTCCAGGCTAGCTGCTGGGTTCCCTTCACACACCAGAACTAGGAGGGAAGGACAAACCTTCTGTGCAGACAGGAAAGGAAGTGCCAAGGGTGATGACATTTTCCCAAGGTCTCTGGGTAAGTCAGAAGCAATGTCTGGCCTGGACTCCATGTCTTCTGATTCTAGTCTGGGCTCCTTCCTGTGCCCTTGTATAAGGTCCACGGCCAGGGCTAGAAGAGGAAGTAGGAATCCTTAGTCAGACCAGCAGCCAGCAGATACTGAGCCATGTCCTCAGTAAATTCAGGTGAGCCACAGACTAATGTAAACGGCTTTCTCTGGCAGCGGGCCACTAGCTCATCAAGCAGTTCCTGGCCCAGGCGGCCAAAGTGGGTCTTCTCACGGTAGCTCCAGGGAAGCTGCTCTGGGGAGACCTCCTGAGAAAACAAGAAAGAGCAACCATGACTCTTGGGGTTCTCGGTGTTCACTCAGTCAGCTCTCTTCTGTCATTGTGGGAAATGGTAGAAACTAAAAAAAAGCTCCTAGTTCCTAGGGAGCCCTGGAGAGAGTCCTAGCAACTGCCACGCTGAGTTACTAGCCTCTGAGCTATGAGATAAAGGCCCAGGCTGTGGAAAGCTATGGTCCTGCCAGCCAGAGTAAGAACACAGTCCTGTGGAGGCCTGAGGGGTAGGGGCTCCTAGTGTCTCATGTACTTTCAGGCCTTGTAGCCTCACTTCAAGGAGTCTGGATGACTTCCATGTCCTCTGGTACTGTCAAGGGCACTCTGCAAAGAACTGGATCTTTCTCTGCTCCCCCAAACACTCTCCTGACCCGGTAGAACCTTGAGGGCAGAGCTGGCAGACATCGCTGGCCTTATTTCTCCTTCCCATTTCCTGATTCTCCCCAACCACTCAGTTCTACTGGCCCTCCTAATTGTGCATCCCAAGATGTGCTGAGTCTGGTTACTCCTCAGTCGTGGTAGAGACCTTAAACAATGATAGACAGGCATGGTGATATCAGACGCAGGGCTGGGGCAGCAGAAACACTAACACCCTGAGCCTGCAGGATGGACTTCTACCTCAGCAGATCCAGGAAGGGGACAGCAGGAACAAAGGCTAGCTGCTAGAGCCGGTGTACCTGCAAGCTCGACAGCAGTACCAGGACAGCATTGCGGAGGGCAGGCCAAGATGGAGTTGGCAATGTCAATAGGCCAATGGGCTTGGGGAGTCGTGAGAACAGCGGGGGCAGTGAATGGCTAGGAGCAAGGCGGTGCAGAATGAAGGACAAGTTGGCAGAAGTCGGGAGACCTGAAGATGCTGTTCCTAGGCTGAGGCAGGGAAAGCGGCAAGCTGAGGCAATGTTTGTGGGTGAGCAGAGTTACCACAGTCACCCCTGACTCCGTTATTGAGTCGGCCCATTTTCCTGCCCAGCTTTTGGCATCTAGCATCATCACAGCCTGGCAGAGCCAAAAGTGAACTTTACTATAATTCCCTGGTCCAGGTTCAGATACCACTTCTTTCCTGCAACAGTCCTGACCTCACTTGCCCTCCCGCTGGTCAGAAGTGACGGACATTCACTGGCCTGTATGTGTACTGTACTGATAGACCGCTAGGAGAATGTCAGGACCAGCTGGGCTGGCACCCAGCTCTTGGTCGCGGCTACCTTGAGGAGACAGAATGGCAGTACAAGCCTCAGGCGACTGTGTGGGGACTGAAGGGCTCTGAGGGGCACGCAGAAATGTACAAAGAAGAGCACTACCCTGGGAAGTTTTTGTCAACTCACTAAAGCTGGAGTCGTCTGAGAAGAAAGACCCTCAGGTGAGTAACTGCCTTGAGATCAGACCAGTCTTTGGCAAGCCTGTGGAACACATTCTCTCATTATATTTTTTTAAAAAATGAGACAGGGACTCAATGTGTACAGCCTTGGCTGGCTCAGAACTCTCTATGTAGACCAGGCTGGCCTTGAACTCAGAGATCTGCCTGTCTCTGCCTCCCAGGTGCTGGAATTAAAGGCATGTGCCACCACTGCCTGGCCAGTTCCTTTTCCTAACTGATGATCAGTGAGGAAGGGTCCAGCTCACTGTGGGTGGTGCCATCCCTGAGCAGGGTCCTGGGGTATAAAGTAAACTGAACAAGCCAGGAAGACGCGTTCCTTCACTGTCTCTGCTTTGGTTCCTGTCTTTGGGTTCAAGTTCCTGCCATGACTTCCACTCCAGATAGACGACACCTTTCTTCCCAAGCTGCTCCTGGTCACCATCTTTATCAGCAACAGAGGATAACTAAGACACAGCGATGACCGGTTGTCCCTCCAGACAGGAAGTGTCTCACCTCCATTTGTGTCCCAGGCATCTCTCATTTGGTTGAGGTCAGAGGGAAAGAGGGCTAGCCAGCAGTCAGGTGAGTTCGCCAGGTGCCTGGCCCAGGCTTTGGTAGGATTTCTGTGCTGCGGACCCAAGTCCTTCCCTCGTCCCCTCAGCTGCACACCAGCCTCCTGCTTCATGCCATGGCTTGGACACTTTCTGCTGCTGTTGATGTTCACCAAAATGTCAAAGAGCTTTCCACCTGTGGACATGTGTGAGGACCACGGCTCTACAAAGCTCTCCAGTTTCCTGGCCCCAGCTAAAAGGCTGAGGAGCATATAAACTGCCAGAGATTTTCCAGAAATGTCTCAAGAAGGACACTGAGCAGGGCGTATAGTACAGGACTATATGGCTAGCCTCAAGCAAAGGAAATGGGGAGGGGAATGGCAGCATGGGCTAAGTCCAGAAGAAGCAAAACCAGACCTCTAGAAAGCAGACAGACAATCAGTGACAGAGGCTTGGCTTGAGATCAGGCATGCTGCGGCAGGAGCTGGCAGGGACGGGGACACAGGAAACAGGATATAGGTGGTTTCCAGCTAGAAAACCTGTAGCTCGCTGAGTCTGACAGTAGCCATTCTGCTGCTGTGTGGAGGAACAGATGGAGGTGGCAGAGACCTTACTGAAGACACTGCCCAGCCAGTCTTTTTTTTTTTTTATTAAATATTTCTGTCTCTTCCCCACCTCCGCCTCCCCTTTCCCTCCCCCTCCCCCAATCAAGTCCCCCTCCCTCGTCAGCCCAAAGAGCAATCAGGGCTCTCCGTCCCGTGGGAAGTCCAAGGAAACCCTCCTCCGTCCAGGTCTCGTAAGGTGAGCATCCAAACAGCCTAGGCTCCCACAAAGCCAATACATGCAATAGGATCAAAAACCCATTGCCATTGTTCTTGATGTCTCAGTAGTCCTCATTGTCCGCTATGTTCAGTGAGACCTGTTTTAACCCAGGCTTTTTCAGACCCAGGTCAGCTGGCCTTGGTGAGTTCCCGATAGAGCATCTCCATTGTCTCAGTGTGTGGGTGCACCCCTCGCGGTCCTGAGTTCCTTGCTCATGTTCGCTCTCCTTCTGCTCCTGATTTGGACCTTGAGATTTCAGTCCGGTGCTCCAATGTGGGTCTCTGTCTCTGTCTCCTTTCATCGCCTGATGAAGGTTAATATTCAGGAGGATGCCTATATGTTTTTTCTTTGGGTTCTCCTTCTTATTTAGCTTCTCTAAGAACCCGAATTATAGGCTCAATGTCCTTTATTTATGGCTAGAAACCAAATATGAGTGAGTACATCCCATGTTCCTCTTTTTGGGTCTGGCTTACCTCACTCAGGATAGTGTTTTCTATTTCCATCCATTTGCCTGCAAACTTCAAGAAGTCCTTGTTTTTTACTGCTGAGTAGTACTCTAATATCTATATATTCCATACTTTCTTCATCCATTCTTCAATTGAAGGGCATCTAGGTTGTTTCCAGGTTCTGGCTATTACAAACAATGCTGCTATGAACATAGTAGAGCATATATTTTTGTTGCATGATAAGGCCTCTCTTGGGTATATTCCCAAGAGTGATATTGCTGGGTCCATGGGTAGGTTGATCCCAAATTTTCTGAGAAACCGCCACACTGCTTTCCAGAGTGGTTGTACAAGTTTGCATTCCCACCAGCAATGGATAAGTGTACCCCTTTCTCCACAACCTCTCCAGCAAAGGTTATCATTGGTGTTTTTGATTTTAGCCATTCTGATAGGTGTAAGATGGTATCTTAAAGTTGTCTTGATTTGCATTTCCCTGATCGCTAAGGAAGTTGAGCATGACCTTAGGTGTCTTTTGGCCATTTGAACTTCTTCTGTTGAGAGATCTCTGTTCAGCTCAGTGCCCCATTTTATAATTGGGTTGATTAGCCTTTTACAGTCTAGTTTCTTGAGTTCTTTATATATTTTGGAGATCAGACCTTTGTCAGTTGCGGGGTTGGTGAAGATCTTCTCCCAGTCAGTGGGTTGCCTTTCTGTCTTAGCGACAGTGTCCTTTGCTTTACAGAAGCTTCTCAGTCTCATGAGGTCCCATTTATTCAATGCGGCCCTTACTGTCTGTGCTGCTGATGTTATACGTAGGAAGCGGTCTCCTGTTCCCACTTGTTGTAGTGTACTTCCCACTTTCTCTCCTATCAGGTTCAGTGTGTTCAGACTGATATTGAGGTCTTTAATCCACTTGGACTTGAGTTTTGTGCATGGTGACAGACATGGATCTATTTTCATTTTTCTACAGATTGATATCCAGTTTTGCCAGCACAATTTGTTGAAGATGCTCTCTTTTTTCCATTGTATGCCCAGCCAGTCTTGATGGAGCCTCTACTCTGGGCCTGGCCTCATGTTAAGTATCACAAGGAGTATGTGGGCCCACATTCTTAGCCACAAACACCTGAACATGACCTCTGCTGCTGCCTTGACCCCATATTCAGGTCCCAGTCCACACAAGGGATCCCAGGAGGTGGGTGGAACATAGTGGAGGACAATGGCTATGAACTGGGGCTCAGGAGTGTGAAGCATGGGGCCCAGCCCTTCTTTAAGCACGCTTCCTCCTCTGTGTGATAGACTTGCCACTGCCTACCTTTCACACAGAGGCCTTGGGACTATCAGTACAGCACAGGGGAAGTGCAGCTTCTTAGGGGAGGAAGGCTTCACCCTGGGCTCACCTGACTGAGGACAAAGAAGGTTCGCACGTTCCAGAACCTGGCCTGCTCCTGGAGGAAGGTCTTCAGGTAGATGGCCTCGAAGGTCTTGAAGCAGCCAACCAAGGTGACGAAGGTCTCGTCATCTGCATTGTCTGTGATGCTCTGCAGGATGGGCACCATAGGGGCCAGGCCTGTGCCAGCTGCCAGCATGAG